ATCCTTGGTCATGATAAGAAGATAAAATGGGAGAACGGAAATAATAAGTAATGCTTTCTAAAAATATGGAACATGGTTAACAACAATAACGAAACTCGCAGGAAGAACGAGAGCGTTCGGGGAGGCTGCGATAGCGATATCAGTCCAAACGAGTTATCGGTGTCTCGCCGGAACGAGACAAGCGCACACACGATATAATTATCGTCGCATTTTTCTCGTTCTTTCCTTTATGTTTCGCGTCACCGTTCCAAATGTTTTAATGTTGTTTTTGCGCGATCCGATGCAATCGAAGTGTCGCCGGTATATTTTCCGCTGGTTAATTCATTAATCGGTAGAAGATACTCCAGTTTTTATTTTTTATAATCGTACGAGTGAAGCAAACATGACGCTACGTGATTCTGCGGAAATCGAAGTATGAGCAATCGCGCTGAGGAGGAAAACCACCGATAGGATAGAAATTGTACAAATTCTGTGTGACGATTTCCTTGCAGATTGAAAATCATTGTCTGCATCGTTTGAGGAACATGTTGACCAACCTTTTTTCTAATTTCTCAACAGTGAGTTAAGAAGTTCTAAGTATCTAGTTCCAAAGTTCCCAACAAGAAGGAAAAGTACACAGGAATACAAATTTTATTTCAAATCCATACACACGTCGTGAATACGAATCATCAATTCTTGATATTGCTTCTCTGTTGCAGTAGCAGAAGTCATGCATAGAGCACGATAAACTTGGCAGCCGTTTCTCAACCAGCGAAGCGATATTCCGTGGTCTTTAATCAAAGTCTAATTTTAATTGCTCGTAAAAATTTTATTGTTTCCTCGCAGTCTCGTTTAGAGGAAACTGCCAATTGCTACGTTATCTGTTTTTGGTGCTGATTATAAAACCGATATGTGGACATTGGTTTGAATCAATTTAAGAAACGCAAAATATTTGTTGGAAAATTTGAAAAATGTCATCACAGAAACTGGACATTTTAAATTGCTTTCAAGTATAGCAAGTATAGCAAGCAACAAAGACTACTTCGAATGTTTGCGAAAAAAACAGGCCATAAACAAAATGACAAGTTGAGAACATAATCAGTGCACTATTATATTATATATAAATATACATAAGTCATATTTATGCATTTATATATGTGTATATAAATCGTACAAGAGATTTGTTCGATTATATTTACCTGTAATCATGCAACGTACTACTTTTGGAGCATAGATTGGCCATCTCTAACTTAGACGTTTTACCGAGAAAGGATCCATAGATCTGTAGATCCTTTTTCCAGAAACGTTCTGAACTGATAAACAAATGAATTAGCGTTTTGTTCGACTTCTCCTGCAACTATTCGAGCAGGTTAGTACATCCAGACATCGAATGTTCCCATTCGCTGATCCAGAATTCGCTGATCGTCAAGCGGGACAGGATCCTCAACCGCGATAGCCTTCTCACGATTGTCGGCGCGGCGGTTCGTGTTTCGTGCGAGTCATCGAGCAAGAACCGTCGCTCGACAAATGAGCTTTCTCGGGCTAACGAAGACTTCCTTTTTTTCTTTCCTCTCCCCGTTGTTTTTGCGGCGTTACTCGAATGCCGCGTGTCACGCGATTCCCCATCGGGACCCGGAAAAAATCCGGACTCTCCGTTTCTACTTATTTGCCCGAGCGTTCGCGCGCGACGGTGCACAGGAGGAACATGCTTGTACGCCGTTGACTCTCACTTGAAAAATTGTTAATACAGACACGGTTTCCAGCGGCAAGCTGAAAATTCTATTAACGATCCCATCGCGAGAGACTAGCTTTCTAGGAGAGCTGCGCGTGACTTGGCGAACTTCTAGCTTCGAGAGTGTAGAAAATGGGAGCGAAGTGTGATACAAAGATTTCAAGGTCACTAGCGCAAGAACTTCAAATTAAAAGATAACCGAACCTTATTTCCACTAATTTAATTAGGTCAATTATTATCCAATCTACAAAGTCCTAGTGAACCTAGCAATCCTAATAAACCTAGCGTTAATACTATCTTACATGAAATCAAATAAAACGTTCAACAATCTGTACAAAAACTGACGCTCCTCTTCTTAGGAAACAGGGTCAACCTCAAAGTCATCGAAAAGCTTCTCTGCTTCTAGGGAAACCATTCAATTCCGCTTACTGAAAACATCCACCACCGTCCAGTGTTTTACAGACTGGATACGGCTTCGCTTATTCGCATGGTCTGACGCAAATGATCTTTACGCGAACAGCTTGGCGCGCACACTAAAAGCTGCGTCGTCTAATTGAGCATGGGAGACAATGGCGTACGAAGTAATAGGAACGCGTTCTTCTTCTCCCCGCGGTACGCGTGTATGGCGCGCCAGGCCTCGTTTTTTCCCTCTCTACTTGGCGTTGGTTCTTGCCCGCCCGCCAACCCGGGTAAACACAGATGTTCGAAGACCGCAGAGAGCCCCGTTGCTGGAACACTTACACGCTTATCGCTAAATATGTAAAAACCGGCGGGCAGGCCACTTTTCCCCGGCCTCGAAAGCCGGCGCGGATCGTTTGCGAAGCTACCGATGACACGGCCAGCCGCGGTTGTCAAGATTACGCGCTGAATGCAATTTATGCAATCCGAATCCTTGCCACGGTATGCCTTCGAGTACGTAAGCTGAACGCGCAGTCCGGCAGTTCGTCCCAATTTTTTACTATTCGCTTGGCACTGTTTCGCGTACACCTTTCAGGGAAACGTGTAAATTAGACACCTTTCCTCAATTTTAACTCTTTGTAGTAGAAAGTTTTTTTTTTGCTAGGAATGTCCAACGTTTTCTGATGAGATATAGCGACGTTGTTGGAAACTGCACGAGAACTGACACATAAATTAAAGAACAAATTAGTTTACTTCAGTATTTTAGACGGTGATAATACAAAGTTTAATACTAAATATTGAACTTATTTGATTTTAGTTAATGGAATGTTAAATATAACATTGATTAAATAATTTTAACATTAAATATTAAACTTCAGAATTTTGCTCTATCAAATTAAGTGGTAACTGAGAGCCACTTCTCGAGTGCAAAGGGTTAATATGTGACTAGCTAATTGGTTATCTCAGATCTAACTCAGACACCAGTGATTCCTTATTTTAGTGATTTAGCGGACAAAAGTGTAATGAAACAGTGTAAAACTAAGGAAACCCGTTAAACAGCATATTTGCCACGTTTGAAACTGAATTTGGACTATATTTGGGTTAGTGATAGACTGAAACTTTAAAATAGAATTGTAGCAGAATTGTGTGAACGTAGGAAAATTCGCTAAATAGTGCATTTACCGAGTATAATATAGGTAGAGTAAATACTGGGCAAATATTTGTTTCTTGTTCCTTTTTTATTACATGTGCGAACACGCGACGAGCCTTACAGTGTCATCGGTCGTTCCAATTACACGTTCAGCCACGCCTATAGGTAATTCACATAACCTTATCTGATGAATCTCTGTTGTCATTAACCTTCACGCACTCTGAAGTGCAATAAACGGTATACAGGTATTATGTCGCGTTGTATGTTTTATGTTCTTCTAGTAATGACGCTTCTATTATTGTTGGACAAATATGTGCGTTTATACTGGGTGTCGTAACTGAGGGAGAACGCCTAAATTTCTTCTTTATTTTTGAACAAATACAATTGTAATTTTACACGTTCGTACAGTTTCCAAGAGATCTCGCGAAAGAAAATTCTTTTCAAGGTTGAAGACGAAGAATGTCAAAGTCATGGTACTTTCAGTAGATAAAAAATCACGAACAAAATATTTTTGTCATTTATAATGTTTCTCATTCAATGAAATGCTCAGTTTGAGTCGAACAAGAAGTTGATTCTATTTTTTGTAATGAGACGTTTCCTGGATTTGATCGGAAATAAGGAAGGAACTTTTCGTTTGGCCTAATAACGATACGCGAGCTCACAAAATGCATCACTCAAGCACCCTAAGCATTCATGATAACTTCGAAGTAATAACTTGTTAATTAAAAAGAAATCTTAATGAATCGGACAAAGTATACGGAGTTTCGTTCGTCTGACTCAGCATCTAAAGATACTATCGGAGAGGAAATAATATGTATGTAGGTTCTCCGATGCATTGAACAGTTTCATACGAAAGGCGTATAAAAAGCACTGAAACGTACACGCGGCAATATTATGTGTAGAAACAATTAAAATGGCTTGAAAAATAGCTGGCAACGAGCGCAATGAAAAATGAATTATCATCGCATTTGGTAAAGAAGCACTTTCGAATCAGCTGTTCGGTACATAATTTAACACCGAGCGTGTACTCGAGAAGCACCGCTGGCTCTTTCACCTTCGTTGATTCCTCGTGTTTACTTCGCGTTGTAACTTCTTTTCTGCGCAGAATGTATCTTTCCTTAACGATTACGCCAATCATATACGGCGCGAATAATTTACTGAAATGCCTTCGAAAGCGAGAAAATGCATGGCGCGTGGACAAGAAGCGTGTCGAGTATTCGTAACGAACTATCGCTCTCCGTCAGCGGTCGAGGCGAATCGATGAACGAAACGAGCAACAGGTGGACCACGCTCGACCATTCAGAAATCGAAGTTTCAACGGTTCGATCTCGAACGACCGCGTGCTGCGCGTCGTCCCTCGATTCGGTGGATTTCATCCTGCACGTTTAACACCCGGTATGCATCTCGAAAACACAACCAAACTGTTTCACCTTGGTTAAGTAATACATTATTCGTACATATGCAGTATTGCAAGTTTTTAATGGAGTATATCTTTCCTGCCAGTTGATAAAATGTAAAACACTATATGAAATATAGTATTTCATTTTCATATAAAATACTAATACGCGTGAGCACGTTGGATATCGCTTTCCATCAAGGGTAGATTCAATGTACAGGGCAACAGGTGTCCAAATGGACAATTTCAAAAACTGGAGTTTCGACAACTCGATAGTGACTGTTCCGCGTAACGTCCCGGGCCTCGATAAATATCGCGTGTTTCATTGATCGAATGACACGTACCTCATCAGTGGAAGCATTGCTGCCGTTGAGCTCATCCTCTTGCTCGACACTGTTCGGATTCTTCTCGGGGGTCTTGATCACCTTGACGTTCGCCATGGTGCCCTTGATAACGATGTTGTTGGCCCTGAAATATTCGTCGGCCTCCTGGTCAACGACGAGGAGCTTAGTCTCATTCGGGAATGCCTTGATGCGCTCGACCACCTGTTTGTGAGTCTCGTTGGCAATGTTGATCTCGTTAACCTCCACGATCCGATCACCCTGCCGTAGGCCAGCGGCCTGGCTCGGCGACCCGTCGTCCACCTTCCCGATAAACTGGCCGTTCTTCCCTTTCTCCGCGTGCAAATTGAACCCGTACCCGTCAAAATCGTCCCATTTGACGATATGGCAGAGCCGTGCACACGGAACTTTATCACCTTTCAGGGAAGACATGCTCCTCGACCCTCGTGATGTCGCCGCGCGTCAACCAAACAGAAACTGACCGCCGGAGAGAACAGCGGAGAGACGGGAGACCGACTACGGGGCTATCGAGAACGAGGGGGAAAGAAACGGAGGGAAAAAAAGGAACGAGAGAAAAGAGGAGAAAAGAAAAGGAACGATACACGCGCGAATGCGTACGAGAAAGCTCGCGCACGCACGTCCCGTGTCGCGCACTACGAGTCGCGGGCGGCTACGCGAAGATTTTTCTTGCAGCGGAGAAGAGAGCTCGGCGAACGAAGCAGCACGATCTTACGCGCAGCTCGTCCGTGCCTCGTGCGACGGGCTGCTAAGCTGACTAGGCGACTGGCTCAGGCCTCGCCGATCTTCGTCTTCACCTGCCACGAGGCGATTATTCCAACCGACTGCCGGTACACGCACCGCCGTGGAATCGTCACGGATCGGTGAACGCGGCGAGCATGGGGGATTCGAAACTTAAAGGTCGGTCCACGCGTACGCGAAGCTAAACGTCACGTGCACCAATGGCGGCGAACGTACGACCGCTGCCAGCTGAAATCTCCCAGGATATCACTGGTCTGAAGGTACATACCCGATCTCCAGAGTCAGGGCCGTTCATGGTGTTCTCAAACCCTAGGCAATTTTCAATGTTGTACGAAAATTTATTTCTCTTGTTGATCTTGCTTTCATGAATTTTTGAGTGCCATACGTTTGATTTCTTGTTTTACTTTTATAATTCTAGCTTGAGAGAATGGTATATATTGGTTTTTGCGAACTCTGGAAGAAATTATTCAACTGGAATTTCGTTAAGTTTGTTTTATAAAACAGCCCAATTGGGAATGATACGTCCTTAGATGCGACGTTCAACGAAGCCATGCGGTACGCTGTCACTGACTGTCTTAAACAACAGACTGACACCGAAGAAAGGAGATTGAAACGGTGTAGAGTGGAGACAGAGAAGACTGAGGAGAATGGGACATATAGGTCACGATAATTTAGTGAGGATGAAATGATGCTCTTGTTGCTGTCATTTTGGAAGCTTTGTAACTTCCTGAGGTATACCTCCGTTGTCACGAAGACCAAGATGATAGGCTTGACATATGTATTCTCATTACCACCTATTGTCATGAGAATCTGTACACTTTGTCTTTGATTGTTACTGTTCTTGTATTTAGAATGATGAATGGAAGGAAAACAAAACTAGTAGCGATGGGCCCCACCCATTACATACAGCATAAGTGTAAGTGACTGATACGACATTCGTGACACGAATGGAAAGTAAAGAGGAAAAATATTTGAATTATACATTTATCCACTGATTATCGAACGTGTTTAACAGATTTTATTTGGAAATTTGAAATGTTTCAGTGTGTGAGCGTTCTGTTACTCGAAGGAATAAAAAAGTAAGTTTTTCGAAAACGTACAGCAACTGCAGACTTACTGTAGCCCTCTATGGGCAAGATTGCTAAGTATAGACATTAGGGGATCATTCGAGCACCACCTACCGGTGATTCAACAGAATTTAGTTAACCATTTGATCGAGATCTGTAGAGACAGGACCAAAAGAGAATTATACATTTTAAAATGTATTATCTATTCTTACGATGACACGTAAAAACACACCTCTATTGTTATTTAAACGTCACTACACGTCATGCGTTTGGCTTAGGGGAAGGTACAAAAGTTGCCCACCTGTTGCTCGCCGCCTGTTGGTGATTCAGATACCCGTTGACGCAGGCGAAATGATTCAAGCATTGCAATCGTGTCTTTCGCGGTAAAAGTTGTTGATAATGAATAATAATTGTAAAATAATCTAGATATTAGAAAACAAATATAGGTCTTTTTTACGTAATAAAATAAGAAAAAACAAAGTTATCCGGAGATGTAATGAAAGATGCTATGAATAGGTTAAATTCGTATACACACTGTTCGCACAGATTAGTAGGTTAACATTAGTTTTTAATTGAATGACGATAATTAACAATAAATATTTCAATAATATTTCACATTGTTCAGGCTTCTGTAAATTAACAAGATTTTTTTATTTTTGTTCGATTCCGGCGCCATTTTTAAGAAGAGGGTATAAATACCACGGTTATGCAAACATTTGCGGGTTAAACAAACAATAATAAATCACAAATGACGTAGATCCTGCACGTCCTCGCATAATACACATACGGATATTGAAAATATACAGATAGTACTTATATAGGAGGAAATGTGTATGTACATCGATCTTTAGTATACGCTGAAAACGACTCTGCAATAAATTTTCAAAGCAAGATAAGGTATATCAATACTAGAGATAAATTCCCAATTCCCAAGATGGAAATTCCTGACACAACGTAATGTTTTAATTGTACTGTAAACTTTCGCTAACGTTTTTCGTTATATCATGCCGAAGTGCGATTTATCGTTTAAATGAATTCCTTCGGTCACAACTGTACAAAGATTTGATATGCTTTAACGTGAATACGTGATGTAATCAAACCACAATAGCCGTGCCGATCCAATAATCAAGCAAGCCTATCGCGATAAGGAAAAGTAAAGTCGCGCGATAATGTAACAATGGACAAATTCGCGATAAACTATATATGACGCAAAATCATTGATGATGAGTAAGTTAATCAGATATATTTGTGGAATGCCGTGTGGTCTTCCCCTTGCGAAATTAATTTCTAGTAAATGATAAAAATTTCAAGTACAATCGTACAGCAACTGCATATCCCATCGACAAACTGCTAGAAGCATTTTCTTTTGGTACAGTCTGCTGGAATCTGACCGTACGATTTTACTTATCGGCTGTGCATTAACATTTAGTCATTGTGCAACCGCAGTATTAGCAACGCCAGAATTATGATTAATCACGTATCGTGTTATGCAGTGACTAATTGAGCTGTGTTTAACCATTCGATGGTACCGGGATTAATGTCGAAAATTAATATCAGGTATTTTTACTAAAACGTCTACGGATACGTGTAACCATCAGTAGGTACGTATGTACTAAGCACAATATTTTATAACCTAAATAGAAACACTCGATAAGAGAACCGGTTTCAGAAGATAAGAATGCAATGTTTGGAAGTTATTTTTAAGTGCTACGCAACACAAAATACTTGAGACGATCTCAAAGGACCCTGAGACTGTTAGACTGAGGTGGTGATCCTGAAACGATATAGGTATTGTATTAAGTAAATCCTGTAATATAGTTAGAAGTCACTAAATATCATAATATAGTCACTGGGGTTACATTTAATCCTATTTGAAATACCTGATGTTGTGAATTTATGATAATCACTAAAAGATACAGTGAAGTGTTTGTTATTGTGCATCGAACTAAGCATTTCTAACTGCTTAAAATCAGAAAGACTCAACTTATCTTATCCCCTCTCATCGTTTATTTCTTCGTCGCGTGATTAGAGCCAAGGAACAACATCGTTTGTGTTCCTTTCAACATCCATCAGTGTCTCCGACACGCGAGTTATCAAAGAGACATCAATTTCGAACAATTTCTACGTATTGCTTTGCGTTCCAGGACTTTGTCTTTGAATTATTACCGATAATTATTGTCAAAGCAAACGAAAAGGGTAAGCAGTATTAGGTGATGTTTGCAGAGGCATTATCTGCAGAATGCTGCACGTTGTGTATACATGTTTCAGCATCGAATTCTTGATCGTGTATACGCGTATCTTACCGATGACGAATCGCGACGATCACACGACGTAGCGACGCATCGGTTCCCCGTTTGTATTGTCCATAAACTTCATGCTTTGACTAAATATTCACGTTGCGTATCTTCTCCGGCTGCATGCATGGGCGGAATAATGTTCATTTCACGTAAACGAACGGAGGCCGGGTGTAATTGTCATCGAAGGCTTCATGACTCCACCGACGGAAATACTGTTTTATAGAAACTGCGCGTCTCAATTCTATAAACCTGTTATCCGGCTATAATATTCAATTATACATCACAGTTCCGGATCAACCGCGTTTGCCTTGCGAACATATCCTCTTAGATGCTGTCCGATATTGAGAATTTCTCTGTTAAAGAACAAAAGGGATCATTATAATCCGCTCAAAATTAATCTCATTCGTGTTGGGATTGTCTACAATTATCTGCAATGATTGCAAAACATACTTTTTATCCGTTGCTTGAAGAAGCTTGAAGAATCCTCATGGAATAAAACGATAGTTTGCAGTGAAAAATAAGAATGACATAATTCTAGATACATAGAGTTGACAGGTAAATTAATGTTAACGCTGCTAGGAGGAGTTTGTGAATGAAACAAGTATTGTTTTGGTTAAGACACATTGTCTAAATCAAGGATGAACGCAAGGAAATCCTAAACTCGTTTCAAATATAAAACCATCGAAGTCATCGGATCAACGATTTTTCCACGTTAATAACAAGCTTCCCTTTGAAGTAAAAAAAACAAATTTGATTAAGAAATTATTAATGCATAGTACGAGTGCGATGTTTGCTACGGGGCCGTCGGAACGCGTCGTACGTTCTTGGAGCGTGAGTGTGGTGGATGCGCGAGCCTCGATGCGCAGTGGTTACCGTAATGGTGCGCGGTGCGCGAGGCGGACGTAGCGGTTGTTCGAACGGCAGCGAAGTATAGTTCTCGTTGATACATTGCGGCGAGCATTTTGTCGTCGGTGTGGCTCATTTCCGTGACGCGTGAGCCTCTGTGAAAACCGTGACGCGTAATGCCAGTATCATCCAGTATCGCGGCACCCGTTGTCACGTAGCTCGGCACGTCGTTTTGGAGGCAACAACAGATGAATATTCGTAACCGCATACGCGTGACTTGATCGACCAAAATGTGGAGTCCGACGCACGTTCAAGTGACAGGTAAGCGTCAGGAGACAGTTCGCGCAGCGAACACGTCGAACGGAGATGCGGGCTCGCGCGGCAGGTGGTTCGAACCGAACCAGATGTACCGTAAACCGATTACCGATTCGCAGTGGAAGCTAGGTTACGTGTACCCTCTCGAATGTAGGTGATCGAAGCCCTGCAATCTCGTTATGCCAACCGAAGAAAATACTTAAACGTATAGGAACGTCGTTATCGATAAGGCCGTTGCGTTTCCCCATTTAAACACCGACTGGCTCATCACGTTTGTTTTTATGTCATCGGTGGGATCTGCCGTGTACCGAGCGACCTCAATTATCGCGACACAATCAAGCGGTCGATTCGGATCGAAATAACAACGGCGATGATCTACTTTCGGCGGAACGAATCTAACGACGCTTTTGGACTCTTTCGAACGATGCCGCAAGCGGTATCTTCTGCGCGGAAATGCAGCCAAAATTGTTTTTCGCAGCGGGAAAGCGGTTCGTCGGTCGCAGGGCCGTAGACAGCGGACTCGCGGACTACGTTACCCGTGTACACTGATGAGCCTTTGAATGCTTTAACAAATTGCACGCCGGTTAAATATCAGCCGATGAAAGCCTGAGGCCGGCCCCACTTTTTTTTTGTTTCGCAATTATTGATGTCTTAGAAGCATTGAATATTCATTCTTGAAAATAAATAGTTTCCCTTGAATACTATAATGAATGTCTGAAGAAACTGAAAATAATTTATTATTACAATTTTTAGAGGGATTACATATTAATCGTATTAAATACTTGGTAGTTCTAGTGTTAAAGGAAATGTTAAAAACATTATACATTTCCGTAGAATAAAAATAGTAAAAAATATGCGTGTGTTTTATTTCTTGAAGCAAAACAAATGCAGAAAGAAATAAGTACATACACATCTATGCGTAAGACACCCATACATAGAGAAAACAAATCCCGTAATATCACGAAGCCGGCGGTCGAGCGATAGACTGAAAATCCCGTATCATTACGAGGCTAGCGTGCAATGTGTTAAAGTTACGTTTGGATGTTAAATTGATGAGAATGTTGATATGAAAATGGCATATTAAGTACATTTCTTCCAAACTTCATATTGTGTTTTATTGCACCGCAATTCCCTAGACTCTACTTAAGAAAGAATTGACCGTGGTCAGTTTTTGAATTGTGGCTGTTAGGTAGCAGAAAATGATTGTAATTGACATTTGATTGCGTTCTTGAAAGTCGGTAAATTGTTTTCACCGTAATGAGGCAAGCAACTTCTGCTGTGCCGAAGATCGAAAAAAACTTCGATAATCGAAGGATTCTTGAATCGCGTCGAACGCGGCCTTCCGTAACGCGATAGAGGGATTGGGAAGAGGCGGTGAAAACTCGAATACCTTCGAAGCACGACCATAGTCGCGAATCGAGAGGCGAGAAGATTGCGATCTAGCATTTGCGTGCACGCGTTTCAATCGCGTGAATGCAGGAACGTGATGAGAACTCGCGAGCTCGCGTTTACTTGCAGGTAACGACGCAGCGAGATACTAAGCTCAACGAAACTATAAAAAAAGTCTAATCCTGATAGGCGACAAAACGGTATCGCTACATGACATCTGAGCGGTGTTCGAATCGGATCTCTGTTAAATTTTTTTCAAACCGATATCAAAAACTTTTGACACCAGTGGGAGACGGTCCTGTGCTCGAGCACCGTGTCTATAGTTACCTTCAAGTATATTTCCAAAGATGCGAATATTCTTGTCTCCATATGAATACGTTTCGCGACGTTTGCGAGGCGTTCCCGTGTAGAGGTTATGGTAACTTAACCTCTACATTATCGAGTTATACTTTATTCAATCTAAATAAACGAAGAATAAATAAAATAAACAAATATGAAATTAATAACGAACTTGACCTCTTCATTATCGAGTTATGCTTTATTCAATTCAAATAAACGAAGAATAAACAAAATAAATAAATATGAAAATAATGAATATATCGAAAGATAGTGTTCAAATCCATGATCGTCGAACTTTAATTTCCAATTATGAGAATTACTGTTTTCCTGAGGTACTAACAAATAAGATTTTTTAGAAAATGTTTAGCATATAGAAAATTGAAATTATCACTGAATTCCTGTGGTCTTTGACGTAGTATCTAATGCATCCGCGGACTGACGAATGTCGTAACGTGGTCAATGTTTGTTTCCTGGTGTTCTGAGACGCGCCAACAGGGACAGCGTATTTAAAACGCGCGCGATCATCCACGCCCCAGATACTCGATGACTCAACTGATGAAAATTGGTCTGGCTGTCTCGCTCGACAGAATTCGACCGACGAACACAGACGGATGCCACAACATGAAGGATTAGCGGTGGGTCTGAAGTTGTTCGCGATGTCGAAGCCCTGACACGTTTTTTACTTTATTGTTATTTAGCTTTCCTCTAATTACACGGCTGCCGTTAATTAGCATCTAATACGCGTTTACATGTCGGTTGACAAGTTTCCGGCGCTTTCGTTTCCATGCAAAATAGGTAAAGCGTGAAAGCATGTGTTGAAGCAGCTGATGGATGTGTCCCCCTTTTCGTTCCCGTGCCAGAGTACCTTGTACAGGATCGTAACTGTATCCTGCGGAACCCACCGCGTCCGTGGCCATTCTGTCCCTCAAACCTATTTTCCATATCTCTTAACGATTTACAAAGTCGAGGTTTTATCCTAACACTAGAACTACCGAGCATTTAATACGATTAATATGTAATCCCCGTAAAAATTGTAACAATAACTTATTTTCAGTTTCTTCAGGCATTCATTATAATATTCGTGTGAAACTATTTAATTTCAAGATCATTTCGAATATTCAATGATTTTAAGATATCAATAATTGCGAAACAAACAAATCGAAATCTGTCATTCCGACTGGTACGGTAGTTCTAGTGTTAAAGATTAACCATGTTCATGGAGATACAAGTATTTAGGCAATAAATGATTTCAGAACCGAGCACAGGTGTTTATTGAACTTTTCATCAAAGTATAAATAACCTAAAAATAACTTATACATGATTAAACTTTCTTTCTTTATTCAGATGATCATGGATGTCATAATGAATACAACAATAAGATCAATATTGCGATAGAATGTGGCTAGAAAATTCATAGGTAATTAAACAAATAAGAGTAATTTCCAGAAAATGTAGACGGAGATACACGAACGATGAGCTCGGTGGTTTCCTTGAATTAATCAGTGTTACAAATAAGAAAAAATCCGGAGGCACGATGCCCGTAATGGCGTACTGAATTAATCAACACGGTAGCTGCAATGCCGAACCGTTAAGAATGTACCTTCCAGGGGAAACGGTATTCGGATGCAGCGAGGCAAACGCTTCGCAGCTCGTCCGATCGAGTCGTGGAAGAATGCTGCGAGAGAGTCGATTTTCCCAGCCAGTGAACTAGTCTCGTTGTCCGTCGTGAAATCGGCGGAAAAAAATTGATACGCTAGCAACGAGCTGAGAACGAGCCAGACGATACAATTCCACGATCTTTGTTTTGCCGACGTTGCGCTTTGAAACCGCGAGCGGGAAAAGTAAACTTCCTCTTTCTTTCAGCTAAAGTTATCACGCTGAATAAGGGAAGAACGAAACGAGCAACGAGAAAATAATGTTATTCAATGTTTAATCCGAAAAATCGCAGAATAATCCAAGAACAAAGTTCAGAGAAACATAAAATGGTTCTTTTAAGTCAATATATTATTAATCTACCCCAACGAAAACGAGTTTGGAAGCTAACAATCACAATACTCTAATAAACTTACGATTTCTGCAATTTCGGAGAATAAACAACGGAGACGCCATCTTCACTACTGGATTCATTGAATGAAGAAATAAAACGCAACCGCATTAAATCTGAATGGAGCCTCTGTTATTTACTAGCCTCCGAGGACTTTTATTCGCACTAAGAATCGCGGATTAATGATAATACAAGCGCATTATAATAACTAGACCGCGAATTCTGCGCACGTACAGCCTATTTAGTCGCGGAAAATCTAATAAATCGATGAGCTCGGTGATAGATTCGAATTGACGGTAAGACCCGCGGTTTAACGCGGTAGGAGCGATGATAAAAAGTAAAAAAGAGAAAACGGATCTGCACGGCGAACGTAACTGAACGTAACGGAATTCAGATAAAGATGACCGAATCAGTTAAGAGGCGTCAGGTGCTCCAGGGATATCGAGCAGAAAAGTTCTCTCGTGGCTAAGGGAAATATGCTCGGATGTTACCAGAGTCGGTTAAAAATAATGATTCGAATCATGCGATCGAAGCTCGTGGTTTCGCGGGCAAAAATGCCGAAGAGCGATAGGCGGCAGCCGATACGTTCAACGCTTTTACTGCGATAGGAAGGCACGTGATTATGCTCGCGAAGCATAACGCGCGGTTCCACGAAACGTTATCCTGAACCATTGTCGGGATGAAAGTCGTTTTCCCAGGGGAAAGAGAAAACATTCGTCGCGTATTTGGAAGGGTCCGCGAGATGATCTTAATCCTTTGCACTCGAGAGGCAACTGAGAGTCGCCACATTTTTAGAAGTATTTAATGTTTTCCTGTTTCGAAACAGAGCTATTTTGTTTGAATATTTCATATGTAAATACATTACACAAGGTTGATTAATATTTAATGTATTATATATTAGTAATTACTGAAACTGTATTCTTAATATTGTTTAATATTAAATCTGAAACTTGATAATTTTACTATATTAAATCAAGCGGAGACTGAGAGTCGTCTCTCGGAGGGTGAAGCTTCGCACAATGCACCAATATGTGACGTACTGAAATAAAATAGCTTTGTTCCTTGACTGACGTGTGGCATCCCGTTAAGTCTCTTTCGCCTAGTGTATTTCGTCAGAAAATATTGAATGTTTGCAAAGGATTAATGCCAATTTCGTGTTTTGCGTGGAAAAAGTGAAGTTAATTTTGTTTCTTGAATATTTCAGGAATTATTCCAAAAGTACACGTTGCATTTAATCGAATATTACGAAGACTGGTACTGCAACAAGTTGCTGCTAGAGAATGTGTTAATGACTGCTATATTCGTACCGAGACGAACACGTTTAGCCAGAGATTTTCATATTCATACTTTGTACACATTTTATTAACGTGTTCTACCACTTTTTTAGAAAGCGGACTGCATAATAGTATGTAGTTTTTTTTAATTACATTCGGTGTACAAAAGACGCTATAAAGCGTCTACGGCTATTAATGTGTTAATAATCTGTTGAAACTTAACCGGCATCCGCAATCTACGAGCTGCATCTTCAGGCTTCACGCTCCAGTCATGTCGCATTTAATATTTTATCGCGCGTGACTGTCATACCGAGCAGATTTATCTAACTACGCCTATGTGCCTGTTTACTGTACCTTTGAATCCCTGTCGACTCAACAATTAAAACCTCCAGTTTGTCGGTAAGCTTAGAAATGGTTTCAGTCGGATACTTTAAAGGTTTTACGAATTTGATCAGAAAAAGATTCATAAGAGAACAGATTAAATTGACTAAATTGAGATAGAAGAGTACCTGGGGCTCTTGCAACTATTAATACAATCCTGTACAGTGGTTGAGAGTGATGAAATTATCTTTCAGAGGTGTTGCAGCTCCAACTAATAACAATAACGATAGTAACGCTTCCAATATATTACAAAGAAGCGTAAAACTACTGGGAAGTAGTAAAATTCAGTTAGGTGTGTGGAAATACATATAGAATATAGCGGATGAAACATTATACCCTGAATACATTAATCTACCGAAGAATACTGGGCACGTAACGCGTACGTCTAATTTTAGTTTGATGTTAAAACTCTAAGGTCACGTATGTGGTCGCAGCTTATGTTTATATGTTTATCATTATTTTCGTCTTTTCGTTATTTTGTTTTATTGAAATTTCTGCTGACTGACCGGGGGCTAAAATTATCCGTGAATATTACTCGAAAGATTCGCCCTTGGAAAGGTTAAAGTATGTTGGAAGGAATGCGCAAAGAACGAGACGCTATTTAGAGCTATTATCAACCGAGATCCTGATCTTACGTTCTCCTACCGATGACTAAATTGAGCTTTCCTTTGTTTACAGTTCAGAGAGCGAGAAACTTGCTGACGAAAGGAAAACACAGTGAGTATCGTCCTGGCTGGACCGTTACAGTTTCAATCGTTGTTACATCAAACTCGCCGTGCAATTAAGAGGAAAAGCGTATCGAATTAATTCATCTATTTCTTAACGATTTATCGAATAAAAAGTATAATTGAGAATAAAGGTTTACTTCTGGGTCAGTCGATCCGAACGGTACATGGGTCGGAGCATTCTTTTTGCGTCATGAAATGGATCGAATAACAAAACAATGGAATCGAATGCAATACTTATGACATTCGCTTATATCGAATTTCATATTTTGTATACAAATCGAATTTCGCTGTGTACATGAAACACTCGACCGCGTAATCCTTGCGCAATGAATCGAACGCGATGGAAAAGCATATCGGGTACCTTTAACTTGAAAACGCTGTTTCATCTAAAGTTGCAACGTATGGTGTAATATGTAACCAGTTGAGAGGATTTTCTTCTTAAATCTTACATTTGCATTGCATTTAACAATAGAACTATCAAACGTACCGAAATGCGCAACCTCAGAATTTCTGTTTCCACAATTATTGAAATTAAAAAAACGTTTCTGTAAAAGATTGTTAACCTAATTTACTCTTCTGCGTAGGTAGAACAATAAAGGTAACTTCAAACCCCAATAAATCTACTCTCACATTTTTTCTAAGAAATTTCTAATGTTCGTCATAATTGTGGTTCTAGTGTTCATGAAATACTGCGACCACAAAGACCGCTACCGAAACGAACGCTGGTAGCAAACGTGTTAACGTATTTGCAACCGCTGACGCGAATTCACGTCTTTTCAAATATGAGAATATTCAAAATATTTTATTCATCTGTTCTTTATTCTTTGCGACCTCTTTAACGGAAAGTTTTTCATTTCAAAGAATCTTCTAGCGGGTCGTTACAAGACCTAATATTTCAAAACAAATTTCCTAATTTTTGTCCCTGTTTCAACGCCAGAAATTTCCGGCAATTAGCTGAAGATTTCCTTTATTTTCACCGGCAATGGTAACAGAGAGAAATTCGCCGGTCACGAATGTGTTAAGCTCCCCTATAAGACGGCGGAACGTTTTCTTGCCAGCTTGATGTAACGACACGCGATAAGTGTGCAGTGGATCATCGTCGTCTGCCGCGGGATTTAATTCCCGTTAAGCAGCCAGTTGATTCTGACCTCGCCGTTGACCGCCTCCTCCACCCACTCACTTGCGTGAACTTAATATTGCAGAGACGAACGATTGTTTCGTGACGATTGCCCTCGGCAAGGAGAAGTATCAAACGTCCGTGAAAGAGAAGGCAGCGAGGGACGTGGAATGGCACGAGGAATGCGAATTAATTATCCCGGAGCAGGGAAACACCGCGGAAATAGTACTGACCGCCCTCCATCGCAATTTTCTGGGCGTGGATGAGTTCCTCGGCACCATCAGCATACCCCTGTCCAGCTTCGACGTTTACGAGAGACCGAGGAACAGATGGTACGGCCGTGGGAACCCCCGGCGACACGATGAAAAACCTCGGGACCTTTTTTTCTCTTCGTTCTCAATGAAAGCGGAGTTACTATCGGAATTATAACGCGCGCGATGCGCCTTCCTAGGCGCCCGTACGCTGTTAGGAAAGTATCGCGAGTGAACGCGCGCCGATATCTACGTATGGTATTTTGGAAAGTTGTAATAATCGTCGGGTTAATTTCCGTCCCGCGGCCGCTCAGCCCGATGAAACTAAAAACATTCGGAGGGAGAAAGCTTGTCTCGTTATTTCGAAAGAAAGAAACGTAGAAACGTGGAACGAGTAGTTGTTTTTTAATACGATGTGTTATTGGTTTAAGGAATATTTTCGTTTTTCGGAATAGTTTGTCATTGTTTCGATGATTGCTTCAGGTATACCCTTGGAAGTAAGCCAGGCAAGGAGAACACGAAAGAGAGGGGCGAGCTAGAAGTGAAGATCGGCTTCATCGTGAAGGCTGGTAGCTTGACCGATTTAAGTCACAAAGAGCGTCACAAGAGCTCCCTCGGTCAGCTGTCTAATGCTGCCCATTCGATCGGCGGAAGTTTGCTGAGCATAGGCAGCTTGGAGAAACGCAAAGGCTTGAAGAAGCTGGTGAAATCCATTGAGAATCGCGTGAAAGGAAAAAGCAAACACAATCTCGACAAGGGGGATGATCTGGACGAGAGGGAGGAGCATAAGTTTAGAACCCCTACGAGGCAACAACCGGGTGAAGCTGATCCTGGAGTCATCAGCGAGGATGAGGATGAATTCACAGTAATATTTAGTTTCAGATTTTTAGACTATATAGATAGAAAATAAAGCGAGTATTCAGTAACAAGTATTTAAGCAAAGTGATTAATGAGGATGACATTGTGTTTTCAGTTCGACGACCTATCTCATAAAAGTTCAGCGTCATCTTTAAATACTCCAGTCGTCGGTGGCAACAGCAACAGCGCGGTTTCTGTTTCATCGAGCGTCTCTTCGGGTAATCATTCTAATGAGGCTCACCATCCACCACCAGCGCCAGCTAACGCGGCACCCAGTAAACCACCCCGATACTCCATGAGCGCCTCCACTACGTCTTTATCGAAGGTTGATAACACCAAAGAAGACGAATGGGGTCTTAAGCTGTATGGAAAACAAATTCACAATAACGTTAAGAGGTATCGAAATGAATTGTTAAACTTTCCGGTATTACAAGCGTGCTAGCAATTGCGGAACACTATACATTATGCAAACATACAAATATAACTTAGCATCTTAGGAGAGTAGAATCAAATGGCTCGAATCTAATGACGCCGCAGCTGACAAAGCGTGAATGTTCTTTCAGATGGGATAACAAGCCAAGTCCAAAGATCGTGATCGACGAGCCAAAAGAAGACCATCGTGAGTCATCACCGATTGGTTCGCCGGCGACGACTGTGAGATTTCAAGAAACGCCGGAGCCACCGCTGCCAGCGCCCCGTGAAGTCTTGCAGAACAAAAACAAAGAGGAGAAACCTACTTCGAACAAAGATAAGAGCACCAAAGAGGAGAAACTAAAGGAGAAGAAAGAGGATAGATATAACTGTTGGAGTCCCAAGGACGATAAACAATCCAGGAAAGATAAAAAGAAAGAGAAAGAGAATAAACTGAAAGAATTGAACGAGGATAACAATCTGTCTTCGGAAAGAATCATTATTGGTGGCGAGGATGCTATTCGAAGTACCGTGATAGGGAAGAGCCATTTGCCACACGAGGTTCTCACTCAATTTGATGGAAAATCAAGAGAGGTAATTGTTGCGATTAGTTACTGTTGCGTGATTATTTAGAAATCATTGCTTTGTGTAACGATAATTGCCTGTTTTTGCTGTAGGATCTGATAGAGTTGACACTGCAACTGCAAGCGGAAGTAACGGAAAAGAAGAAACGTTTAACTGACTTGGAAGATTATATAGACGCGCTCCTATTGCGAGTAATCGAATGTTCGCCACGCTTGCTGCAAAATCCCTACCAGTCGCAGAGACGTTTATCATCGCCCGGTCATCAATAGATAACTAAATGTTCTTCCATCATGTTTCCTGATGTCGGGATTCAATTACATTTGTCAGCATAATTAGTGATAATTGCATAGCGTTCGTTTGATCTACCCGATCATTATTCTACACAAGTTTGACTGCTGTTGTGCAACTGTTTATTTTATAGTCCACACGCGCTTTAATTTATTCTCGATTAACAATTAGAATGTAATTCTTAAGTAAAGTTGCACATAGTTCTCGTTGCTTTTTTTAATTGTATAAACTTCTATGGAACATTTAATATTTTGTTATTGTTCGAACGAAGTATTTTTATTGTAAGGTTACATGTGTTTTAAAGGGCAAAGGAAAGGTGCGACATTTGTGCCAACTGCTTTAAAACGTGGGAAAAATGCGAATACTCCCCTAGTCTTCCTGAGAGAAAGTGTTGTTCATCCCAAAACCTGATGTCTCCGTCCAAAGTACCGTCATAAAAAAATTACTATTAACAAGATAGTTTCTTTGTAATTTTAAACGTATGCGTGATGATCGGTTCACGCGTTGTACATCATATTTTCGCAAATACATATTTATATAAGAGCATAAAATATTGTGAAGGTCCAATTACGTATTTAATTACACGTAAACGTCCGCAACGCATACACGCAACACTACACGCGACATGCACGCACACGCGCGCGCGCGCGCGCGCACGCACACACACTACACACGCGCGTATGTATGCAAATAAAGTAATGCTATTAATTCCGCAAATGTTACTAGCGTTAAAGATTTCAAGATGAATGCACCGTTCAGACAAACCAAATCGAAAAATTACGATTCAATATATAATTGATTACGCATTTTTGAGATTAGATAAAATTCGACTATTCGTGGTCAATGTTTTCAGATCGTGTAGTCAGTATTTATTCTAATACATCTGTGGAGCTCGCAGCACTCGCTCGTTCTCACTGAACAGTTTGTAGCACGATAGTGTTTGTTCGCTTATGTTTTCGATACGTCTTTTGTGATAGTTTCTGTGTGGGAATTAAACGTTGTCGATAGTGAACAATGACCGACGGCTCGGGTAACGATGACACCACCGCTTTTAACACAATATCTGGTAAATTTTTTAATTCATGTCGATTCGTGGTTTTGACACCGGTTACGAGAGGTTAGATTTCTTGAAGCACAACGGTTTGTCTTACACAAAAGAATTTTATAAAACGGTTTGAAATATGTCAGTTTGATAGCAAAACTTCATAGGAGCTTTTATTTTGCGTAATATGGGTAACTGAAAACATTTTAAATACAAAATCTTATTACGAACTTGTAAAGGTGACCTTAAAATTGCGAATATTTAACTATTCTCATATATACCACGCGGTTGCGAGCTATAGTCACTTTTACGCACATAAGTGTACGCATATATATTGAATAAAGTAATTTACGTATCGCGATCAAACATGAAAGGAAAATTAATTTACCATGTGCTAATAAATAAAATTTACAGATTCTTCCAAGGCAGAAACATGTACAGCTGGTCCTCTTGTTCTATACTCAACGGCGCAAGCTTGGGCAGCACAGTTTTATCGGAGTATTTCACAGCCATACAGGATATCGGAATCATCAGACGAAGAAGATCTTTCCCAGTATCAGTTCGAAGATGACCTTGAGTATCTCAGGTCCTTGGACCCAAAGGAGTGGAAAGATCAAGATCATTACGCCGTCTTAGGATTGAAAAAGCTCAGGCACAAAGCGACCGAAGATATTATAAAAAGGGCTTGTACGTAAAGAAAGTTCAAAGTATACTCTGTAAAGGAATGTAGGTGTTATATCGTTCGCTGTCTTGCATGACATTATGATTAACGCGGTTCAGAAGTATTTGATGCATGAATTACAGATAAGCAGAAAATCCTGAAACATCATCCTGATAAGCGAAAGGCGCTGGGAGAAGAAATCCGACCAGACGATGATTATTTTACCTGCATCACAAGAGCATGGGAGACTCTGGGCACTACTGCAAAGAGGAGAAGCTACGACAGCGTAGATCCTTACTTTAACGACGATTTGCCGGACGAGAAAGAATGTAAAACAAACTTCTACGTGATAATGGGTAAAGCATTCAAGGACAATGCTAGATGGTCTGTAAAACAGCCAGTCCCGCGGTTAGGTGGACCAGAAACCCCTAGAGCCAAAGTGGAACAATTTTATTCCTTCTGGTATGACTTCGACTCGTGGCGCGAATATTCTTACTTAGACGAGGAAGACAAAGAAAGTGGTCAGGAGTAAGTATTTACTTTCAGCTGTGCTTAACACTGAAAATAATGAGAAACTAATAATGTTAAATTGCAAATTAATTCTTCATCTATTCCTTTCCAGTCGAGATATGCGTAAATGGATCGAGAAGAAGAACAAAGCGACACGAGCTAAACGGAAGAAGGAAGAAATGGCGCGTATACGTAGTTTGGTCCACATGGCTTACAACCTAGACCCGAGGATAAAGAAGTTCCAACAGGACGACAAAGACAAGAAAACCGCCGCGAAGAAAGCGAAACAGGAGGCTGCTAAGGCGAGGCAACAGGAAGAGGAGAGGATAGCGAGAGATGCGGCCGAAAAGGAACGTCTGGAGAAGGAGAAGCGGGAGAGCGAAGAAAAAGCGAAAATGGATGCACTGAAGCAAGAAAGAGAGGCGCAGAAGAAGGCACTTCGCAAAGAGCGAAAGGCCTTCAGAGACTTTTGTAAAGCCAACAATTATTTCGCGAACGATACGACAGAGAACATTAGGCATATGGAAAGCGTGGAGAAAATATGCGAATTGCTTAAGCTTGTCCAGCTGGAAGAAGCCATGAAGAAGGTGCAGGCCGAAGGCAGACCCGCGTTCATTAGTATCGTGAAAGATACGGAGGAGAGAATAGAGGCGGAGCGCAGGGTAGGCTTCACCTCGAACGACACGCGAAACACGCCGGAGAAGCAAGTGAAATCTCACACAGCTCCGTGGAACGAGAACGACCTTCAGCTTCTGATAAAGGCCGTGAACTTGTTCCCAGCCGGGACGAATCAACGCTGGGAAGTAGTCGCCAATTTCATTAACCAACACAGCGGTTCTACGGCCGGCGTGACTCGCGATGCGAAGGAAGTTCTCGCGAAAGCTAAAGATTTGCAGTCGACGGACTTCAGCAAATCGAGCCTGAAGGAGCAAGCCAACAAGAAAGCCTTCGATAATTTCATCGCGGAGAAAAAGGCCAAAGAATCTGTCGAGGATCGAATGCCAGCTGTCACGGAACGCTTAGATCATCCTATGGCGAATGGTATTTCTACGGAACATAAGGAAACAAAGAAGGAGCCCCAACCGTGGACCCCGGCGGAGCAGAAACTGTTGGAGCAAGCGTTGAAAACCTATCCTACCACCGTGCCCGACAGGTGGGATCAAATCGCCGCGTGCATACCGACCAGAACGAAAAAGGAGTGCATAAGGAGATATAAGGTAAGATAGTTCAGGATACAAAAAAGGAACAAAGATATCCGAATTGATATTCATTATCAGGTGTGTATTTCAAAATCGAATTTCACGAACAACGATTCTATGTCACGTTGCAGGAGTTGGTGGAGCTGGTCAAAGCGAAAAAGGCGGCGCAAGTGATGAAATAATAGTAGTCTATCTTTAAAAGTAAAAAATTCTTTTTTAACTTATTCGAACTCGGAGATTCAAACGACTTCGCGAACCATTTCGGGTAGGAACTTGTTCATTGAGTTTGGAAAACGGATGAATCCTAGCTTTCACCGAAACGCCCAGCCGTTGTATATACCTGTGCCTTGCTTTTTTAGTCCGTGCGTGCACAGTTCGTTACAGTCCTAGGAACAATTCCTCTGCTACTTACACGCGTCAAAACAATCGCTGCACTTAGTCACTGTATAATTCATGGCAATCGTTAACCGCATGAGAAGAAAAGCTCGCTCTTTCTCAGCGGCGTCGACCACGACCATGACCACAACCACTATGACGACGACGACGACGACGACGACGATGACGAAGATGACAACAACGACGACGATGACGACGACAATGATCCGGGTAAACGCGCTCATGAAAATAAAATT